CGTATTGCAGCAAATCATAGGAACTCAGTGAAACATACTATGCCTTTTTTCCTAGGAGTCATGCATTTTGGAGAAAGATATAGCTGTCGTTTGTGTGATTCCCATAACCCGGCTTCAACTAAATGGTATCAAAGTGCCGGGGATTGTCGCGACATTTTATGAGGTATTGCACGTTTGTGACTGCGAATATTTACATAAACTGTGTGCGGAAGAATTTCTGGTTTCTTTTTCTCATCTCTTGATTGTTTGAATGTTTGCGGTTTTTGAAAGAAAATTCGCGGACTTTGCCATGATTTGCCAGTGGTCATCGTCTTCGTTCCGATCGCCTAGCTCCGTCCAGTAACTGCAAATGTCACTTGGATGCGTAGATGATTGTGGAATTCGTCTGCACATTGGATAGACATGGTATTATGGTAGGCATACGGTAAAGAGTCAAATTATTTCAGTCTATCGCAAGTTTTCCAATTTTTGACTGCACTCATGAAGAGAACGATATTGTATATGTGGGGCAAAAAATGAGTGTTTCCAAGTTAAATGTATAGTTCATGCATCACAACCTCCCTCCCCACTCCTCTCCTCCTCCTCCCCCCTCCCCCCCCCCCCTCCGCTCTAACATGTAATAGAGCGCGAAAACAGACAAGGTTATAGCATAAGTCAACCTTAGAAAAAGAATTTTTTGTTACGAGTGACAGGTTGCATGCGTGGGTCTGAGCACATCACAGTTGCTAATCATTTTCACTCGTAGCTTTCTTCTCCCTTTTCTTCTTAAATTTATTCGTAGTAGTGATGGAGGTGTGACTTGAATATAATAGCAAATGGGACTGGAGATATGCAGCTACTTGAACTTCTGAGTGCCCTCAAAGTATGCTACACTTCTGCTATCAATTTACTCTAGCATGTGATACGGTCATGTGTTTGTACCTTGTTGTGCGACGGTATCACTTTTGTTTTGAATCCATGAAAAAAATTCTTATAAGCCTGAGTCAGCAAAGTAACTTCAATGGAACCATCTAGACCTAGAGAAATTATTTGATGCAGAACAATATTTTTTTTAGAATGGCTCTGCTTGCTTAAAATTGCTCCAGGAAAACTTGAGACGTTGGTTTTCGGGACTAGAATTTGGCTATTGTAGGAGATGTACAAGTAATCGTATGATATCATATCTTCCACTTAACCCTTCTTTAGCATAATATTAAATACGTGGTAAGTGGTGAACGAAGTCGCTGAGAACTAGCCAAAACAATTGTCAGGATCAACGTAGTAAGTATACGACATATGCTCGCATTTCACGTATTCTCAATTGCTTTCACTATTTTTTACGAACTTCTCAAACTAAAGCGTACTGCGAGTAAGCCGAATCTTTCAGTTGCAATTAACTCTCGCTGATTCCTAGTGGTTGATGTTTTTTTTCATACAGTAATTATTCTTCACTGGAAGTCAGTGAAAAATCACAAGATTGTTTGATTATGTGATCTGACAGAAGAATTTTGCTAAAAAATTTTCTAGCTTTGGCGAACAAATGAATTACAAAAATATCGACCCGTGTTTAACACGTTGACGACCTTGTGTATCCGCACGTATGCACGCCCTGACTCCCGTCTAGCATTTTCGTGCATCCGCGCATATGCACGCTAGTTTTTTAGGTGCAAACGAAAAGTTTTAAGGTAACTTCTATGCAGTAATACTATTAGTGACCTGATTGTCTTACAGAACACAGGGCATCGCGGCAGCTGTTCAGAAGTTTTGGCCGCAAAATTGGGTAATCAGTACGTTTTTGATGTAGTCAATACATGCTAATTACGTTTTCTCGAGAAGGTGAAAACTCTGTATAGCTGTTTTGAAATCAAACAAAGATGAATCAGACAAAAAACATCTGGTTTTACAACGCTTTTCTCGAAGAGCGATTCCTCAGATATAACCATTGCATGGATTATTGGAGGGAAAATCGATGCAAAAACCTTGATTTGTGTAAGTCCTGGTAAGGCTCTGTGACATACCTGTATGTCTGAACAAAGTTCGCATGTTTTATTAATAAGTGACAAAAAGACTCCCACATAGTGTTTTCGTGCATCCGCGCGTATGCACGGGCCAAATGCGCGAAGGACGTTAGTGGGAGTTTCGCCCAAAACGGTCGTCAACGTGTTAAACCTGTGGTTCATCAAAAATTTTCATCGCTTTAATGCATCAACCGCCTTTTTCACAAACTTAACATACCGATGATATACAGCTCGTTTGGAATGGCTGGGTTGAGTTCTGAACATTTCCCCACTAGCACTGTTAGATTAGAGAATGCAGAATAGGAAGTCTTCATCAACTTCAAAGGAAGACTTTTAAAAGAAAGAGCGTTGGCCGCTGAGTCATGGTGGATCATATATTCTATAGAGACTGAAATATGAGGCTAACACTGCATGCCTCTGTCCAGTATATTCATAACAAAAGTTGATAGATTGATTAGCAGCTCAAGACGCAAATCCCCGCAGGATAGGAAGCATTCTTTTATAAAAGAAGTGTTTTCCAAGTTGATTCATAAACATGACTTTTTTGCTTGTTAGAAGAATTTATCTTTTTTCTTGTGCCCCGATGAGGATGCATGCATGGGGCCCCAAATGAGGTTGGCAGGCACAAGAAAACAGATATTTTTCTAACAATAAAAAAGAAGTCATGTTTGCTAATCAACTTGGAAAACACTTCTTTTCCATGTTTTATTGCTGCTGGCACATAACAGATGATCGCTCTGTGAGTTTAATCTTCCCAGTGCAATGCACTCGATCACTCGAAACGAGCTTGTAAACTTTCAATACAAACGATGCTCATCGAGCGAGCCATCTGCTTGTGAAAAAGCTAAACAAACTAAAACTGAATAAAAGTTCTTATAGACTTTACATTTGCAATATTTTTAGATACTTAAATCATCTGACTTTGATTTTAATCTTGAGTCGCCTTGGTTGCACTTTTCAATTTTCGATGCGCAAGAAATACATTGTTATGTACATGAGCCTGAACCTGATAAAATGAAGTTTAAATGATCGCTGGTCTTCACTAATGTGGACTTGCAAAACAACTCGCTATAACACCATAACGCAGCATAAATGAACTAAGTCGAATGATCTACGATTCTTTCGATATCAGTTCCACTAAGTGGCTGACAAAAAGGGGGGAGGGAGGAAGAATTTATCTCGGAATCTTTATCTTGCTCTACTGTGAGATGTATAAGTTTTTTTTTCATTTTATCGTGTAAACAACCAAGATTAGTACCTTTATTTCAGGAAAATCATAATGTTTTATTATTTCTGGGATACAAAGGGCCAGAAGGTCACTCCTCCTCGATAGAAAAAAAGTACTACCACCATCCTGCTGACTAAGAACTCGCTCATAGAAAGACTAGAGATTATCGTAAAAGAAGTGACATGTGTGGGTGATACATGTTCAGAGAAATTATCAGAAATTGCATTGGCCTTTCCCGATAAGACAAATACGCTTATGACAACCAAATACTGATTGCAAATCTTTATATCTGCTAAGTGGTCGTTAAACAAGTCCGCCGGTATTTGTTTGAGCTGACAGCTCACAATCAGCTGACAATGGCAAAAGTATCTTGACTTTTGATCGAAGGCGGAAAATTTACTTTTTTCAGCTAACTTTCTCACATTGGGAGGTGAATTTCAAGAAATTAGGACAGCTCTCAGCAAGCTCATATTTATGCGAAGCTTTATTTTTTATGAGATGCAAGGCCAATGCGAGTCCCGAATTCCTTCATTAGGTTTTGCTGACACACGTGAGATGAGTTTACGACTTCTAATCAGCGAAAGCAATGTTGACATTCCAGCTCTCATACTTTGCAAACTCCCACCATATTTTCGGAAGCCGAAGTCTTTGCTGGATAGATCCTTCAAGGAGCCTAAGTGCTCTCAAATTGTGGCCGATATTTAAGAATTCGCTTGGTTATGACAAAGGCTAAAGCAGTCCGTACAGAGTTAAAGGTGTTCTCCTTTGTCTTCTGCCCAAGATTTTTGTGGCGACTTAATTCGCTCCCTATGACCGTTTCGCTTTGTTCCTTGCTGTTTTATGGTCTGAACATCTACTTCCCTTAGGTACATTGCAATGTACAATATTGCTCGTATCTTTGAAAAAACGACGCAAAGTCGCTCGAATCATGTGATCATCGTAGCGTGGCCATATCTCGTTTCAGGGTGGAGAAATTCTTAATTCAAGGACCTTGCGACTCAGCTCGGAGCGGTACATCTTCTGATTCAAAGAAGTGCCTGTTTGTATATAGTTTAAGGAAGGATCCAAGAATCGTTTCAGATTTTTGCCTACGGTAGGTTGGCCAGTAAAAGCAATGAATAGCACCTTGAGTAACACCATAAGCAAGAACCTGAAACGATTCGTGATTCTGACCTCCTGCTGTGTACAAACTACCACTTCTATATATCAGAAGTTGCGCCGCGCCGAACTGACTCGAATGGTGCCCTTGAATTAAGAACTTCTTCACCCTGGAGCGAGATATGGCCATGCAGTGATGTCGTGAATCGGGCGACTTCGTGCCTTTTTTTTTCAAAAAATACGGGCGGTATTGTAGTGCAGAAAATGTTGATTCATGATCACCCAAAAAAATCACCCAAAAAAAAAGCTTTTTCAGGAAACTTGTCAATTCGTCCAGAGTATAATATTTTGAGACCCTGTTTAGATCACGCTGCGAAATTTTCTTGAACTTGTCTTGGGTAGGTTCCTGATTTACTCGAGAACATTTATGTGTGATGATCACTTGCAATCACTGCAAACTGAGCCAGGCTCCTACAGCGAGACTGCGGGTCGTGTTGACGAGTGACCGGTCGACCGTATCTCATTGATCGTCGCTGACGGCAACCACCAACTCGTTTCCGGTGCGACGACGGGGAACGCGCAGACGAAAGACCAAATCGCATGATACAGTAACACCGAATGTGATCGCCCAACTGGTGAGAGGAATGTAGTGTATTGCTACTAATAAACAACAACAAGTTGTGTAGACAATCTTCATTCTCATTGCTTTTTTTTTGAAGCATTGATAAATACCCATAAGATAGTCGAAAAATAAGTGTCCGCTTCAAATCTGGTAAAGCGGATGGAGTGAGTGATCAATAGTTGTTGGTGTCGAAGACGAATGCGAGCCGCAGTAGATGATCTCGATTGCCCCAGTTGGGCCCGCGTTCATTCACCGTTTGACTAGTACCTGAAAGAAGAAATCTAAGCAACAAAATAATTCATCGAGTTTTTTGGTCAGCAAACGTGCGCAAGCACCTGAGACATGTCTGAAGTCTACAAGAACCGGGGAATTTCATTTCCCTGCAGCCGTAAACACGACATGTGACAGGAGTTCGGGCAATCCCAGGGGAAGAACCCGGATGAAAACATAAAGTACAGGTAGGAATCACACGATATCAAGGACACACGGAGCGCGATCATGGGTAAGCAAGGAAGTCACTCATCGTTCTTATGTGACAGGTAACCAGGAATGTTAATAACATCAGACTTGATCTCTGCATTACATATTTTCTGTTTTTGCAAAATTTGTGGCGGGAGAAGGGGCAGGGGAGAAATTACATCTTATTTCTGCAAGACTTCGACACGGAAAATGGAATAAACTAGTAAAAAATCTGACTTACCCGTATTGAGCTTATCCATAGTGGACGATAATGACGATGATGTCAGATCTTGGTTGTGAGTAATTGGGGCTACCTCTGAAAAGAATTCTTGGAATTTGTAAGTTTGATAACAAGATATACATTTCTGTTCTGGTTAAATTCAGCATTTCAGCAATTCAGCATTTTGAGATTCCGTCAGTTTAGCGCTAAATTAACGTGCTTACCTTGACTTCTTTGGTCCTGTTTGGCCAAAGGAAAGAAGTGTGAAAAGAACGAGTTCTTTGTGGTAGACATGATGCTCAAAGCAGTGTCAGAAATGTGCAAATTGAGCAGAAAACAAAAGCTGAAAAAAGAATGATTAGGCTTGCTGAAAAATAGCATAAAAGAAGTCCTTACCAAATAATCAAATAATCACTCGGAGGTAAGAGGTTTCTTTATCGTCGCACTTCAGGCGAACAATCCGGAGGACATAGTCCTTGGAAAACAGTGTAAAAAGCTTCTGGAAAAGAAAATGTTTGAGTCAGCGTTTATATGAGACAAAGCGAACGAATGAGAAGAGTACGGTAGAAAAAGTGATAATGAAGGAGACCGCTGAATAAAAACAAGCAATAAGAACAGGGGTTGGGCAAGGAAAAACAGCCAGACATATAGAGCAAACAGCTAAGAATCTGAAGGAAACTAGCTCAATGTACTATTGGGTGTCAATCCACAAAGGCGCAGTGCTTGTTGACAGTCCCTTGCTTAGACTTTCAGCGAAAATACTGGCGAGTCAAAAAGCTGCTTACTCTACCGAAAAGTTCAGATTCTATCATGAAAAAGCTGTTTAATCCCTAAGAGATCGAATAATAAGAATGGAAGTGCATAATTCACAGAAATAGGGGTTTATACTTAGGCAACCTACAGTGAAGAAAAGTGGCGAAGCAAGCTGCAAGACGAATGAGCGCCACGAAATGGCAGCTATTCGTAAGGCAAGAATTGCACTATAGTGTACCACGGAATAAGGGACACAACTAGAGGGAACAAGATCTTAATAGGAGCAGATTCATTCCAAAGCGCATGGCAAGATGTGATGCGTGCGAGGAATGCGTACAAACACAGCCTCGAGCGCCAAAACCAGTCAGCTCACTTGAGCTGAACTATGGTTCCAGGAAGAGGAAGCTTTTTTGCGAACAGAAGAGAAAAGCGTGTGTCCCCAGAGACAAACAATTTGCACACTGATGATAAAGAGGCGGGCAACACGTGGTGAGCGTGATGAATGGGAGCCGTGAATGCACTTTGGGGATGGGGAAGCCCCTAACGACGAAGACGTGCGGAACATCACGAGTGAACGCGGCAAGTGCAAGGAGAACTCAAAGTCCACGCATCGATTAGGGAAAGGGGCGGGCACGAGGGGGGGGGCGACAGTTCCACGTCGGGTTGGTCGAGGCGGAGAGCGTAAGCGGGTGCCGGGTGACTGGATATGCTAGAGAGTAGGGACCCGTCGGAGATTTGTCATCGAAGTCGCGTCATCGCCGCCCGCTCTGCATGACCAATGCACAACAGCGCAAACCACGTTTTGATTCTTTGATCTGCACAGTCAGACAAATCAGCGTCACCCCACTAGAATTTTCTATGCCATATGATCATCTGAGCTCTGATCGCTTCGATATCAAATCGCATCACTGTTGATGTTTCGCTGCTGTAGGGGCAACAAAGCAAATTAGTTCCACTATTGACGGGTAAATCACCATTGTTGGCTGGCTTTGTATGAGACAAAAATAACATAGCTTGACCTAAGCGAGGTATAATGGAGAACTAAAGTTTGCTTATATGTGGGTTCTATTGTATCATTATGTTCTAAAACAAATTATCTACAAAAAGAGCAAAAAGACTCCAGTATACAGCATAAGCGATTAAATAAGCCTTCACGGACTAAAATATTGGAAATATCTGATTTATCCAAAGTAACTAAATTAGAAGGGGAATCGGGCCAAAGTTGTCCCATAACCTCTTTCCCACTTGCAATACTAATAATAAGATTTCTCGGTACTTCGGCATGCAATAATTATAATTGTGGGGGCAAACTATAATCCAATTTTGATCATCTCTTTATTTCAAGTAAAAGAATTTTAAGCAGATGTATAAGCAAATGTGGTGAAAGGGGAAGGCGCAGACTCGATTTTTCGAGATGTTTAACGTCAAAGTATAGAAGGATGAATTTTTCCAGCTCATCGTATCCTGCATTTCACTTGATTTGCATCGAAGAGCGTCAATGCATAAACGATTCTCATTGTCAGTATCAATCACAGAATGACAAAAAATCGTGGACTGCATAAATGATCGATAAGATTGTTCAAGTTTTCTGATTGCCTTATTTTATGTCTTTACTATCTGCAATTTGCACGACGCAAGATGGTAGGTCTGGTAGCAGCGCCAATCAATGATAAGATCTCTTGATCAACAAATCAGACTGTACAGGAAACTGAGAAAAATGATAGAGTGGAAGGAATGGAAAGGGCCGCATTACAAGCTTAGGGATGAGAATGCGGCATGTGCGTAGGTTAGTTGATTCGTTGACCGCACGGACTGGACATCCACTGCGGAGCACGCGCCGCGAAGTAAAACGCTTGCCCCTGTACAAATTCACTCTTGTACAAATCGTGCCGCAACGGTTCAGCCGCGCCGCGCGAGTCCACAGCGTTTTACCAGTCCATGCGGTCAACGAATCGACGATAACTGCAAAGGTGTTTTTTCCTTACCAAGATAAAACAGTAAAAATGATCACATCGGTCCTTGCAAATCATTTGTTCATGGGTCTCAGGTGTTACGTTCATCGTAATGTTCGGAGAAAAGGAACAGGATGTCACGAAGCGTGGAGCTCGCGCAAAAACTGGCTCGCTTGCTGCGTTTGACGTCAACAGAACACCAAGTCCACATTGAGACGGAAATTGGCCGAGTCGACTGGGGCGCTAATTCGAATCAAGCAGTGCTTGTGTCGATCATAGGAAAACAGCGAAAACACTTCTTGGTACGGCTGTATGCACTGTTTACACTCGATCGCTTGTACGCGCATTTGTTCGGTACGAATACGAACTGAATCGAACCACCTTCACATCAACCGCTGGAACGCAAACAAACTACATCGGCGAACAGAGTGTGACGTGCTGGGTTCAAGAACTTTTTGTTCCAACTTCATCACAGTGAATAGTGCATTTATTCAATCATTTATCTTGAACCAGACACGCCAAACCGCACGGAAACAGTGCAAATTGTTTTGAAAAGATGCTTCCTGACTAAACTACATAGTAACTATCTACACTTCCCAAAACGATATAATTCTCTGGTTCTTAAAAAATTCTGATAGATATCATACAAATTTTCAAAGAGTCATTTTGACGTCAGCGAGCAAAATCGCTTCAAATGTATGATGTTTAAAAGAGGGGTGGACCAAATCCTGTAAATTGAAGATTTCTGGGAAAACATCAATATGTCCTCGAAGATGTTTTTTAATGCTAACAATCAGGTTTACGAATATCAGTAGCGCGAATTCTTGAACGGATAGTGAAAAAAATCATACCATATGAACACAAATAGTGATAGTGCAGCATTTTGAACAGATGCAAGAAATTTGTTCCGTAAGTAAACAATTCTCAGCTGAAAGGGAAAAAAATCGACCTCGACCGCAGTGCCGACGTGTGTGACTGCAGTGACTGACGCAGACAAACATGACTCAAGCATCCCTGCTTCTCGCTCGCAAAGCTGAACTGGTGTAACTAGCAGCCACTGATTTTGGGCCTAATTTTGATGGAGATTTTCGCAGAAACTGTCGAGTTGGAATCTCGAGGGTATGACCTGCATCTGATTTTTATAAGCATGAATAAAACTTGTGTAATGCTTACAACTCCCAGTGCAGGATTGTCACCGTCTTATTGTACCAAAGAAGCACACTGAAATTTTCGTCAAGCTAATCAGTTTTTGTACCAAAGAAGCACACTGAAATTTTCGTCAAGCTAATCAGTTTCTGTACCAAAGAAGCACACTGAAATTTTCGTCAAGCTAATCAGTTTCATTTTACCAGACGTCCGATTAACCGCATTCCGGGAAAGTTATGAAATGATCGAGAGTGTTTTGATACGACAGATAAGAACAACAATTGAAACACACGAATGCCGTTTTCTCCCGTTTTGTTTTTTTGGGAGACGTCGAAACATGGTCGTTTAGATATAAAATGGTTTCGAGAACTATAATGCATCAGCGTTTCGCTTCTGTCTCTCGATGCTCCTACAAAACCCGCGGAAATCGAATTTCCAAAAATTTGGCTTGCATCGTGCTTAATAGAAACTTATAGGCAGTGTCCAGGTCAATTCGCTCTCCGTTCCACCTATTCAGAGCATTCCCGCCATGCTGAAGCCATATCTGGACTTAGCGCTTAGAGACGAAAAAAAAATCTAATTTCAAAGCTCTCCGTATAGCGCTGGCTCTAAAATACGTGTAAGTGGGCGGGGTCCAGAGGAGTTCCGGAGCGGATTTTGGACTCCGCAGACGCGCTTTTCTATGCTCCAGTTTTCACTAATAGATTAGTTGAAGAGTTTGCCATTGCAAAGCTGTAAGGTATCCATCATTTTGCTGAAACGCTGCGTTTATGGCTTTGTTTAAGCTATATCTTTGTAGGTTGAAGCAATTTTCACCATTATTGTAATGATCATGTGAGATCATCACAAGTTCTTTGTGAATAATGACGGCATTCAACATTCGTACCTAACCTTTCTATTCTGGTCGGCGTTCACTGTAAATGACCTGAACGAGGAGATAAAATCGGATGATAAGTTAGGACAAGGCTGTCCAAGACATGCGTACAGCACGCAGTGACCCAGCAAATGCGTTGATAACATGCGGCTAGTGCCTCACAAAAAGGAAATGAAAGTAGCACCAGTGCACGGATATTCATCTCATTCCTTGCAAATTTTCCTCCTGAAAAGACTGTTTCTTGCGCGCATATAAAAGGCTGTCGAACGCCTACGAAATCACACAATAGTGAAAATCACACAATAGCCTCGCGGTATTGGAAAAATCACAATAGATTACTAAGACTGCTGACGCAAGCAAGAACGCACATATCGAAAATGAACTTACTAAAAGCAAATACAGACTAGCACAATGTCTGAAATACTCGGATCGAACTTTTTTGTTAGAATCTTGCAGATTTTATACATGAATAAGTTAGTTTCTAGAGCTCATATAAAATTTTGATTTCTAAGAACTTTGCCTACGGTGAGCATTTTACTGTCACCGCAGCCACTTTGTGCATTTGCAGTATATTTAATTTGCACCAGTAAGCGATGGCCCGAAAACACGGCACCTTTTTCCCACTTACAAGGGAATGGTCAGAAGTCGAAGTGGCCAATCCATACAAGCTGCATACCATTCGATGGAGCATAAAATGCTGACTTCAAATCTGTCTTCCATATCTGCAGAGCGCCTTTGTAGGCGGAGTTATGAGCAGCTTTATTGCGAAAAAACCGTATACAAAAGTTGCGAAATTAGACACATTATTGCTCTTCCAGCTCGTCTCTAGGTACAGGTCATATGAAGTGACCTAGTTGCATGTTTTGGTTTTGTTTTGTCCAACACTGAGCCGAGAATGGTTTTGTACGGCCAAGTTTGCACTTTACACGCACAATTTCTGAGCAAACTAATGACCTTTAACGGCTTATAATTTTGTCCACAAAAGCGCTCTGCAGATAAGGAAGACAGATTTAGAATCAGCGTTGTATGCTGCATCTAATGATATGCAGCTTGTATGGATTGGCCACTTCGACTTCTGACCATTCCCTTGTTAGTGCACTAGCGTATTACCGGGTTACTGTTTCGTTCCATACCGACCGCCATCGATCTGCTTCATCACAGATTTCAAGCGGCGCAATTACACAGTGACTATGAAATGGAAAAATTTAAATCATCCTTCTGTTGGATTTCTCACGCCACGGGAGCATAAATTCTACATGGGCGTAAGAGGTCGCAAAAACCATAAAATTTGTAATCGCGCCGCAATCGCTGCAGTTCGAGTTCGTGTTCGTTCACGGTTTTCCTATGATAAGGAATGCCAACGCAAGCTTTTCTTTGAAACGGCGAAAGAATCTAAGATACGTTCCTGTGAATGATACAGTTTTTGTCTTTCGATCTCATGCGGTGTATCAACGATGTGAGGCAGGGGTTTATTTCGGAATTGCTTTGTATGTACTCAGGTGTTCATCCATGAATGATTCGCATTTGTCGTTGAAAAGAAGAAGATAGTATCGGAATTTGAAAAGTAATACGCTACTGATAAGGCAAATAAACAGAACTAATTAAACATCAGTTGTATTTTCAACGAATGCGCAACGCGTTTGAATTTGCACCAAAAAATAGAATCCAAATATAAAATTCACTAAAATTAAGGGATCAGGGAGCATAGGACGAACTTGAAGGATTGGAAAGTTGACGAGAAAAAACGTTGTCTTTCCTATAGGTATCTGACTTTCCTCAATCATAAAAATCTCACTAGGTAATTCTTCATCAATGTTCAACATCAACCTGCGCAAATACTTTTAATTAATGTTATTTTGATAGAAAGTGCACTTCAAATGTGATGTTAGCATTGCTCTACCCACGTCTGCAATCATGAAAAATGTTTGTTCACAAATGTATAGAAACAAGTAACTTCGCACTTTCTGAATCAAATGCACTTAAATAATGCCCTTTTATAAGCCACATGTCTTTTTGTCCATTTCGTTGAAATTTTTACATGAGTGAGACAAAAAGAGTCCACAAAATTGATGCTTGATGTCACATTGGTAACTTACTAATGATCTGCCATTGTTTTATACCTGTACTGTTTGTTGATCGAGGAGCGAATGCATTTGTTTATCAGACAGATGTCAACATCATAGCTAACAGAGGTGCAAATCACTGCTATGCAGACAAGAAGAGTTTGGCTTAGCACTAAAGTTGAGGGGAAGTCAGCATTTTTTTTTCACTTTAAAAGAGACATAGCAAAGCATGAACATGCGAGGCTCGGAATTTCAAAGCCAGTTGTTGGAAGTAAGGTTGAAAATGGCGCTTTTTGGAAATTGGTTGAATGAAACTCAGTATCTGTTAATTTTTGAGGAGAATCTCACAATTACCACGTAACCAGAAAAGTTAGATGAAGGATTTAAAAAGATGTCCACCTAGTCCTTAAGCGATGCAACATGTCGCAAAGTTTGTAAGGATGGTAAGCTAAGAAAAAACATAAATCGCCATACCGTCCCTTAGGGCTAAGTCATACCTCGCGCGATTCCGGCCGCTGCGCGATTTGGCACAACGACGACTCTCTGTAAGTCGTTAATATGTTTCCTTTGGTCAGAACTTGACCCATTTGCAACAACTTGCACAAGCTACCCGTCTATGCTTTCGAGAAGCGCGCACGATAAATTTGTGGAAATCTGGCAAACTGCCAAGTAGCGTGAAAGTGGCGATTTGGCCGAATCGCGTGAGGTGTGCCTTAGGCCTTAGGCCACGGGCATAGTTCACGCGATTTCACCGCCTCGCGATAATTTCAACAAGATAACTGTTACGAGTCCACTGCATGTCGATCACCTTGCTTTTCGGCTGTGATAGTTAGTCACGATTGGTCGTGCAAAAGAATTATCACTGCGGGAATGCATCAGGATCGCATGCATGGATTCTTAACTGTTGTCTTGTTGAAAGAATCGCGAGGCGACGAAATCGCTTGAATGTCCGAGGCCTTGAGCGGAGGATCAAAGAATGCGATGGTCTGTTATTGCAATTGAGAGCTTTGTATAACATCGGAATTCAGACGAAAATTGATAAAAAATGGTGAAATATCTTGCAAACTGAGAAGAAAGAAAGATAACAATGAAGTAATGCATGATTGATAGTCAATGTTATTAATCATGCAACAAAAGCTGTATGGTAAACGAGCAAAACCCAGCGCCAAGGAGTCTGCTGTGTAAGCAAATAAAGCATCACATGTTTGCTACTGCATGGGAGCGTTCAGAATTGTTACAGTTGGTAGTTTGAGCTATGTGAGACTGAGGCTCATGCGAATGCTATACAGCAAACAATAGCAAGTAAAATGTAGACGCTCTATTGCCCTCACTGCAGAAGACAGCTGCGAGCAATAGCAAACAATGTCCTACAGAACGCCATGGTGTCAAACGCAAAACAGCATCACTGAGAAATTCGTGTAGACCTGAAAGTACTGAAATGAGAACATATCACTGTATTGAAACGAGCTGCAGTTCGGAGCGCAACCAAATTTATCATCTTAAGGCGTCAGAACAGAAAAGCATTAGAATTTAACATGATGGGCAAGCTTCAGCTGCATAATCGCTTTAATTCTTTTAAAGACCTTTTGCACACTTACCCCTTCACCATGAATTGTAGCAATTTATTGCGCCCACAGTGACACTTACCTTAAGTATAGAATAGTTGTTAGATGTATTCTAGTCCATGAAAAAGAAGAGTAGAATTGTGAAAGTATGATATAGTTAGTATTATTTACCCTTTCATGCGCCTCAAACAAATATGTTCTTGCGTAGAGCGCCTGCCGATTTCGATCCTCTCAATAGTATAATTAGCGTACATTTTGAAGTTATTTGCTAATTTTTCAATCATATACGTGGAAAAAAAGTCGGTTGTTGATGTCACAAATCAGGGGCGGATTTCTCCGGAGTCCGCCAAAAACTATTCTCATTCGAAAATGCATGCGCATATGTGTGGCGCAGATATCATTTCATGTGTCTATTGGCAACAGTAGTCCAGTCAGCGAAATCAATCTCTTCAGGGTGCTTTCTCTTCTCAAAGTCAGTGAAATTCGGTACATAAACGACATAGTCCTACGTATCCTGGATATTGGAAACGCAGACTTATGCAGAAGTATTATGCAGTCACCAACAGTGTTATACACCTTCAGTACGTCGAAACTTGCAGACGATAATTCATGTCCATACAAACGGTTTATAGAGCTCTGCGCACTTTTTGAATGTGAATGGCGGATGCAGAGAGGTTACAGAATGGGTCGCGAGAGCTAGGAATGTTGAACAGAGGGATAAGTTGTGCGAAGAGGTCTCACCATCGAAGATTGAAACAAAGGCTTTGGAAGCAGTCAGGTTCGTAAAGAGTAAACTTTTTTGGGGAGGAAGCGGTCTGACGGAGCGCCTCATTTCCGGTATAGCTTTTGGAGTTTTACATATGTATGACTTCAGAAGAGACTGTGGAAGCTTCAGAAGTTTCCCTCCGGACATGATAGAATTACTCTTGTTCCGTAGCTCATTTAGGAATGTGCACTACGCGTGTGCAAGCTGCACATTAGCAGACGTTTAACATATGTGATCTTTCCGTTTTGTCACCTAGAATTCTAGAGAAGGCTTGGAGTAGTTTAAGAAAGATTCACAACAGAAAAAAAAGCGAGATGTTTCTTACAACGAAAGCACTTTTGTTCACTTCCGATGGCCCCTGTAAAAGAGTGACTATATTATTATTATACTTTTTATTTTTCTATTCAATACGCACAAGGCGTGCCCATACAACAGAAAAACGAAACATCACACCAAATAACCAGCAACAAAAAATAAAACAAAAAAAAGGCAAACTCCCCACTGAATCAGTTCAAGTCCAGTCCGCAAAATCTTTCTGGGAATGGAAAGGGGGTGAGCTTGTTTAGACATATATGAAGTCATCACAGGTATAGAGGTTCAATGGAGTCTGTCTATGCTGTTGTTATTGCATGAAGTGATAAGAAACACGCGCTAGTTATTTAAAGGCTTGCTCTGAAAGTGTTGTTCATTTGTTCTAGAAGATCCATTCATCTACTCAATGGGTAATCATTCCGAAAACCCGCACAATTCACGAAAGAACAACGTTTGCAGTGACGGACCCTGGTCCTGTACAAATACCTAAAGGAAAAGTAATTGGAAGACGTTGGCGCATACTGAAGAAACTTGGAGAAGGTGGTTGCGGTGCAGTGTATAGAGTAGAAGATATCAACACAAAGCAGCTGGTAACTCTTTTATGTTAGAAATCAGAGTAATCCTATATGGAGCTTTCAGTGGCTTTCTTGAGGGCCGGGCATACTTCATGCGATCTCAGTCGCGACGCAATTTGGCAATATTTTAACTGTCCATAACTCACTGTAAGCACATTTAAAATGTACAGAAGAGAGGGCACTCTATCAGTCCACATAGGTTATACACAGTATGCATGTGCACTTTGCTAGTGTTGGATCGAAGACTTCCGGCAATTTGCCAAATCGCGTCGCGACTAAATCGCTTGAAGTATGCCCGGCCCTTTACTGAAACCTGAGACATAGATAAATGACTAGGTACTTTCGTCCACCGTTATCATCGAGTATCTATCATCAAGCATTTAACATGGCTGGGGTGCGGGTTTGGGAGCGCTCATGGCAGGCTGCATTCTGGCTTCTTGTGCTCTTAAGAATATCAGTGTGTCTCATTGTCGCAATGCACTAGTTACTACAGAACGCGAGAAAGAAACTTACGCTCAAACGTCCTGTCTCGTGGTTGTCCTTACTTGACTGATCTGAACGGATCTTAACTGTAAGAACCCCCCGTCGCTAGCAGATCCGCACATGCCTCAGTTACTGTAAGTCCTTCACTGTTATCTAGTAACAGACTAACTCTAAGGGCTGAAAAATTAGCGGTTTATTGGAAGTGACACTTTGCCTCATTGGATGAGCTGCTCACAGGGAGATTATTATTAGTTAGATAAGCTCCATACCCAAAGTGCTGAGTGAACTTGAAGTGTTTGAATTTTGTCGTTTGAGAGGGACTTCTGTGCTTTCTTGAAAGATAGGAACAAGGACTCAGTTTCTAATAGTACCCAAAAGTATCTATGTTGTACACAGTGCAAATCATCACTGAAACTACAATTTCTCCCTTTGAAATAGAAGCAAAGAGAAGTTGCGACGTCGCACGCGTCGTTCGCGTTGCCGCACTTCGTTGCAACTGTTGTTCGATTTGTTCTCATATCTCCTAAACAAATATCGGTGGCACAGCTCTACAGGGTCATTTGAAAAGTAGGAGCTTAGATCTTTGACTCAATAACCTTGGACTAAAAGAAAACCTCCTGCAAACGTCAGAAAGATCCTTCAAAGCCGCGTGCTGCACCATGTGCAGCACCGGTCCGAAACGTGTTAAAACAGTGTGACCCCATACCATGAAGCTTTCTTTTTCAACAATTTCTTAGCCAAAGTTCATAGATTGTCTCTACCATGTTCTCAACAGAATGACTTTATTGCAACTTTAGACAGTGCCAGAGGACCATTTCTTACGGCCCCAGCATAGGTGAAATCGACAAAAAACGAAGAAACAGTAGTCCAAAGCAAAACTTATCCCTATACTGCATTTTTCAACCTAGCCTCATTCTTTCTACTGAGTTCTCGGAGCTAAAGTCTGCTTTTGAATCGTGTTGAATCAATTCAAACTGGAATGGAAGTTCTGCGCAAGGCTTTCGTGTAAGTGTCACCTCTATCAACTGCATCGTTGACCTATGTGTTGCCCGAATGGCTACCGGTGATGCCTCTCGTCCTGTGATGAGCAAATGCTAAGGTCTTCAAATAGCACACCAGTAGCATATAAAACTCTGAATTACTTATAGGAAGCTTTTTAAACATATCTGACCATCGTTCGGCGGTCTCGTTCACGTCTGACCTTCAGTGGTATCCAATATTCTAGAGCTTTCGTCCACTCGTCGGTGGTGTTTGTCCAGCCACCACTACCTCTGTTTTGTGAATACGGCTGCGCCCCAGGTCGGGTCGATGACCTATTGTGGAACTCCGCATTTTTCCCCCCTCATTTTTTCCCACTCGCCTGACGCTTATGATCCTAACATCACTCTTTCAACAGCTTGATGACACAAATCGCTTGTTCATCCTGTTTCTCATTGTCCAGGTTTCTGAAGTTCACGTCTAAGTGGGAGCCGCTCGCCACAGAGCCTTTGCTGACCACTAGTACGTCCTCAACCAGTATGTTTTTCATGCTGCAGGCTTCATCCCGCTCACTTCCGCAGTTAAATTGTTCACTAGGGTTTTCCTTCATAGGTTAATGGCTTGAGCCTTCGGTAAAATTCGTTCCATCGAGTAAGGAGCATTAGGCACTCTGCCGTTCTGTCTTCACCTCAATCTTGCTAGGTTCAGCCGTAGACCGTCTCTCCTTACGCGTCGTCAAAGCGAGCCAGCGCTCTTATGCTTGCGTTATCAATGCGATGTCATGGGCAAGGTGTGATGAAGTTGCCTCTTTAAATTCCATTCTGACTTCGTCTCAATCTAGCGCCCACATGAGGACGCAGCGAGTAGCTTCGACGAATCTTAGGCTCCCGCCAGAGTGCCGAAGTTATGCCAGCGCTACGCCAGCATTTCGATCGATACACGTGTATTTCGTTGGGGCGGGGCTAGCTGACGTCCCCAACGAAATGCACGTGTATCGATCGAAATGCTGGCGTAGCGCTGGCATAACTTCGGCACTCTGGTTGAGCCTTATAGCCTTTCGTATACCTCTCTTCGAGTCGACGATGATGTCCTCAGTATGATGTAATACCGGTTCTGAAGTCGTTGTACAGCTCTTATATATATCTAATCGGTGGGAATACCTCGATTACTTAAAACATCGATGACGGCTTTAGTCTGGTTTAAAGAAAGGTCTTCTTCATGAAATGAAGGTGAGACAAAACGGCATCCTGGTTGAGACTGTATGTGGACTATCTATCTATCGCACTGAATTCTCTCAAAATTCAGCCTGCCCGCATGGTTGTCTTCTGCTGAGAATAACTCGCGCCAAGAGTTTGTAGAATACGGACACAAGCGGAAAGGGCGATAGTTGCCGTTGTCGCGGTAATCTCCCTTTTTGTACAAAGGCCTTCGAATGAATCAGACTAAGGCCTGCTATCCTTTCAAAGGATGGGGCCTTGCTTTCCGTCAAAAGCAATGGCTCGGCAGAATAAGACCCGTGGTGAGAGAACGTCACAGGGTAGAAGCCCCCACAGTGGAGCCTATAGGCCGAGTACGTTCTTTCACTGCCACTTCTAACCCTCGAAAATCCAAGGCGAAAGGCAGCCTTCCATCTCCTCTTACAGCTCCCATCTCTGACCCCGTCCACCTGAGCCCTTCCATCGTCAGATTGCGCATGCCGCAATGCTATAAGCATAAGGGTCCCTCACACTCTGCGTCTCCGCCATGGCGGGCTTTCCTTCACTCCATGTCTGAAATTGATGCCTTTGGAAAATGCTCGGTCTAGCCGATTTCGTGCTTTCTAAGTTCTGTTCGAATTCAGCGCAGCGGATCTCCCTATCAGCGGACCTAGCGCTGTACGATTCTTCATAGACATGTTAGCATGACAAATTTGGGAGGAAGAACAGATGGTGCGACATAATTGTCCTCCTTGAGGTGAACGTGGCTGTTGAAGTGATCCGAGCAGAGGCCGTTGGTGAGCTTCTCCAGCGACCTTCAGGAGGCGATTGTGCTTCCTCAGGGCGGCAATGCGTGTTCATTTGTAATTTGAAGAATCGGCGTGCTTTGAAAATTTTCGGCTTCCGCGGCTTCCATCATCGCTGCTATTCCTCTTCTTAAATCTGCCGTCATATCCGAGCGATTTCTCCAAATCGTCGTCACCACACGTCTATTTTCCAGATGTTTGCAAATCCACCGCGCGTGTAACTCAAGACATATTTAGATGATTGCCGGGGGCAGGTCGACCGCGAACTCGCGCTTTCTTGCAAGCGGGCAGCAAACTTTTGGGCGTGGCCAAACCAAATCTATGAAATGTGCGGCTCCTCGCACACAAAGGACCGTGCGGCGCTCAACAATCTTGCATATTCTCGCGGGAAGTCCAGTCACTGCGCCGCGACAAATCTATGAAAAATCAGAGATTGTTCTCTGAGCGTTCGTCAGCAAATCAGCAATTAATTTTTCGAGTGCCCGCTTAGCCTATAAATCGCATGGTCGGTACCCCGGCGATTCTAGTAGCTTCTGCAAAGTTATGGGTCTCAGACAATCACCAAAGGTAGAGTGGCACTGGGAAAGTAGAAGGCTGATTTTTCGCGCTGCGCTCGCCGATTTTTAGAAAAATGGCCACAACTTTAAAACGCCGCTTGTTGATTTCCCGCTTGAAAAAATCAGCAATATATGCGCGAATCGTAGCGAAGGAAGAGACAGGCGGTCTAATAAACTTACTGTCCATATTCCGGGAATCTGCGGGCGGATTGCGAAACTGAACAACGCGGAGTTTCGGTGCCCGCCTACATTCGACTATTAGCTGAGATCTTGCCTACACAGAATGCATTGTTATGAACAATTGTAGCAATCCGAATTGTGCGGCGACTCAAATTGCGCGAGATTGATCGATTCTTAAAGGCAATGTCTCACCAAAATTGAGGTAGTGGGGCCCACGTATTTCTTTAGACCGCCTGAGTAGGCGAGCGGCCCAGATCCGACTCGATTCGGGCCCTTCTACACCGAGAAAATTTGTCCTTATGGCCCGCAAAGCACCATTTAGCCCGCACGGCTGACGCTCGCTTCGGCACTACGCGTTTCAACATGTCCCTTCAGTTGGCGCCTACCTCCATGTGTTGTTGCCACTGTGGCGACGGCTAAGCTAAAAAGGCACAACTTTTCCGCGTTGTTTCCACGAGGCCTTCAAAAAACGGGGTTTTCTTATATTTTATGCGATTTTGGATACGCATAGGTTAGGCCCCGGACAGACTTCACGCGATTTGATCGTTGCGACTCAATCGCCGACATTTCCATTCATTTTCATTTCACATTCAAAAATTTCGGGCTGGAAAAGTATCACAACCGAAATGCAAGTTGATCGGCATGGAATGATGTTGTAACAGTTGTCTCGTCGCGATTAAATCGCGACGATCAAATCGCGTGAAGTCTGTCCGGGGCCTTAGATAGGGTCGAAAACCTGCATAGTGCAAAAACCTCGACAACCAAGCCTTTAATGCCTAAGGCATAGCTCACGCGGTTCCAGTCGCTGCACGATTTGGCACTGCAGCGACTCTTCACATCTGGTCGTAAGTGCGCTGTATAGGGTGTCTCAAAAAATGTATAGAACCTTTGATCGTTAATATCTCTCTTCTGAAGAAGTCTTTTCCCTTGCTTCAGGTACCAATCTGTAGAGCTGGCTTCAACTTAAATTTGCATTATAGAACGAATCACTCATCTCTCTTCGTTACTGTAGGATTACGGTAGAAACTTCAAAGAAGGTTTTAAGCAATGAAAGGTCATATTTTGCCTCAGAAAGGAAGCAAAACAGCCTCAAAACTTTTACACTAGGCTAATTAGAGTTGCTGATTATAACTGTAAAGTTCCCAACTTATTATGATGCTTCATTGAAGAGTTATGCCAAGTAAGAGGTAGCGGCCATTTTTTCAATGTTCCTAAGAAGTGCGGTTACACCGTCTGGAAGGCTTCGTAATCTCGTGAATAGTTGAGTATTAAACTCAGCGTCCATAAAAACCTTACACAAGTTTTCACATTTTTTTTGAAAAATTTTGAAACGGCAGCTTTTTCCACATTGACACCATATGTTTCAAGTTTCTACCGTAATCTTACAGTAATGAAGAGAGATGGGTGATTCGTTTTGTAATGCAAATCTAAGTTGAAGCCAGCTCTACAAAACGGTACTTGAAGCAAGGCAAAAGGCTTCCTGGGAAAAGAGATATTAACGATCAAACGTTCGATACATTTTTTTGGGACACCCTGTATATTAGCCAGACTTGATGCTTTTGCTACAGCTTACGGAAGCTGCGCGCCTATGCATTTTAGACCAGCGCACGGTTGATTTGTAGGCATCTAGCATACCACCAAGTTGCGTGGATGTGGCGATTTGACGAAGTCGAGAGAGTATCCTTAGTCTAAGGTCCTCTTTCATAGCTTTTCTGCATCTCCTGCGAGTCAAACTCAGTCAGTAGTTTGTGGTGTCTTGTCCAAGTCAACGGGCCAGCTCCGGAACTTCAATGAAAACGACTTTTCGTATTTGGGACTCTCAGGTTGATAGTGGAGGTGTTGAAAAAAGCGTTTCTTTGAAACAACAGTTACTTTCGTCAGGCACTACATTCTGTTCACGAAGGTATGGTCCATCTCGTTATGATCTTTACCAGGCGGTCCCCGGACTCAGCATTGGGGTTAATAGGCTATAATCTCTCGATGAGATGAGATCTTGGAATACATCACATTGCATGGTTGATTGGTAAAAGCTACCCGTCCGCCTCCTTCGTCTTCGACCTCTTTTCCAGCAGTGATCGTTAGGCTTGTCCTGCAGGCAAGAACATGATTTTTTGAACCAGTCATCAATCTAAGCATGGTGTGGTAATGTCCTCCAGGGTTCTCTTCCAACTTTTGATTGGTTAAAAGGGCTAATTGACTCCTTGTAGTTTATCTAAGTGTATACGATGTATATGTTTCGATTTGATTAATAAGTCTAGTCGAATAATAATGGAAAGCTCTGATGGAATTTAAAGGCAGCGTCAGGGCAAAACTGTCCTACTTTAGATGTTGACACAGTTCGATAGAGGCCCCCTCAACTGAGCTAGAACAACAAGTCCGCTCCGAAAATGTGAACTCCGAAAGCCAAGTGGGCGGGCCATGTGCCGCTCCCCTCACACATGTACGGATGAGCTTACAGCTTGCGCCACTTTCACTTTGCACCTGCAAGGTGTCACTGTCTGTGATACATGTTTTCGCTTGCGGCGCATCAAATTAGTATTGGATTCGTCCGCGCCTTTTGAAAACGGATTCCGGAAACGGGATTTCGGAGATTTTACGCAACTCTCAGTTCAAATTTGATCAGGGAGTTGGAAGGCCAGAAACGCCAAAAACATGGAAGTCGAAATTTTGCCCGGACGCTCCCTTTAAGCGAGTAACCTCCCCCCTTCTCCCGATCGTAAAGCAAGATTGTATCGATTCATCAGATTTTTCAGTCATTTTTTCCTGAAGATGATACTTTTTAGGCAGCTCTGAAAGCCGAGTCAAACTTTGTATCCGGTGGCAGCGTTTTAAAACTCGAGGTACAGGTGAGACTTTGAAATAGATAGATAGAGACAATTTCTGATATCGGTGCTCCGCGTAATCGTATCACTTCTGAGATTTGCAGTGGAGTAAACTGTGTGTATTTGATCGTTTTGACTGATTGACCCAACTTTAGTAAGCAGAGCGGTACATTTGGAGTTGCAAAAGCAATTTGAACCATTTGGTACACAAAAATTTTCGTAATCCTCATATCACTCTAAAACCACAGTCTGAGAAATGTAGTTCGTGGAATGGAAGCGTTTTACTTACATATGCTCAGACATTGCTTTCAAGGAGCCTTTTCGCATCGCCCTTTTCCCTCATTTGTTTTCTCGTTTTGAGGGCTCACAGCTGTGCGCCTTGACTGAATATGAGAATTATGAAGCTGTGTTCGAAGCACTAAATGCACGGAGCATAGAAAGACTGCTCCTATCTCTATGTATACGTTTTTCCTAACCCTCATGTAAAATTATGGCTTACATAAGACTTCATACTTATCCACAGATAACAGACCTGGTTCAAAGCGCAGCACACTGCCAGCAATACCAAACTGTCGCAAGTGTGCCTGAGCCGTGCCCTACGAGCTGCAGCAGGGCGGGTATTGAGCGGAGGGGAAGGGGGAAGGTGGATGATAGCTCGAAAGATTTTGCCCACCTCGTTTTCCCCTTGCAATGAGAGTAACCCCATTCTGAAGAGGGTAGACGAACAAAGCGTTTCTGCTTCACATATCCGCGGAAGACTTGTAGACGTACGCGCTTTGTTCCCTCTTTTCGTACCCCCGCAGCTATCTGCTGTGTACGAATAATTAGCTTCTAACAGATGTATAAAGCAAAACAGCGTTCATTCTTGAGCTCCTTTTTAAATGATTTTTTTCTTTACGAAGTGAGCGAGGTAGAAGAAACGAGTGAGCAACGTTAAGGAAATAAAAGAAGTTCGCACTGAACATTACATCTCACCGCAACAAAAGAATTTTTCATCGCAGTCTTGGTACTTGTTTTCCTAGTTCAAGACAAATGGCTACGGAGGCAATGCGACGGCTTTCTGAAGCACGAGGAGTATACTGGCTAGAACTAACGAGGAAATGCTTACGTATATTTATCTTCCACGGACACATGCGGAACAGCATTTATTTATCATTCGTTCTGAGATTGAAGCCATTTTTACAACCAGTGAGAATCGAGGAAGAAAGGGGTCGAAATAAGCGAAATATGCAAAGAAAGTTATTGGAGACTGTCAAAATCTTCCTGTTTCTCTCTATTATACTCTAAAGTAGCTTGCAACGGAATAGTCAGAAGACGAAGTGGCCAACCCAACCAATTCAAACAAGCTGCCTTTCATTCGATGCAGCATTAAACGCTAATTTCGAATCTGTATTCCATATTTGCTTAGCGCTTTTGTGGATCACTTTTATTGCGAAAGCATCGTATATAAAAATTACGAACTTAATCACATTGTTGCACTTTTGGCTAATCTTTAGGCTTAAAGAATATAAAGTAACCTAGCTGCATGTGCTCAGCATTGATTCGATCATGAATCTGCGCGGCCGAATTTGCACGCACTTTTACACGCACGCTTTTTAGCAAAATAACGCCAATAATAGCCTTTAACGGCTCAAAACTTCGCCCCAGCATTAGCCCAACATGGCTCTGTAACGAATTTTGCGTTTTGCATGCACAATTTCCTAGGAAAATATTTGCAGGCAGTATTCGGGCCAAAAACTCGATCAGAAATCCACCTACTGAGGGTTATCCGCAACGCTGAATCCGAAAATCGACATTAGAAGGCGCGAAAACGGCAAGAACTTACGTATTCCAAAGCCGCACAATTTGAAATTCGACGGTCCCCACCAAGGCAGAGCGCAGAGTCGCTGCGGGACCCTACATTTTAACTGTGGTGGCATGCGTACTCTGCCCCATAGCAGGAATTCGGACAGCTGGGAGGACCCCGCCCCAAGGCGTAAGTTTTTCCACTTTCCGGTCGTTTTTCTTGCTTTAGGTTGAGCGTTATGACGTCGCACTTGCGCGATGTTGTGTCTGAGGGGGCCACTCTCGCATAGCACTGAAATCCCAAAACTTCCATCTTGCTCGACACTGCCTTTAAAGGCAGTGTCCGAGCAAAAACTCGGTTTTTGCTAGGAAGCTCTTTGAAATTTTGAACTTACTCAGGCGCTACGCTGAATAGGATCCACTCTGGAGAACGCGAAAATGACGAAGAAGAGCTCTAACGCAGGAAGGAAAACCAGCAGGTGGGCGGGGTTTTCCCACTGCGAATTTACGCTCCCAGCTTTCGGGGCGACCTCTTCAGCCTTATTTCGAGTCAGCGTTCGCACTTGGCCGGTGGAGATGTCAGGGTGGATAGCGGAATCGAGAAGATCGCTCCGGAAGCTGGGAGCGTGAGTTTATGGGGAATACTCCGCCCACCTTCTTGTTTCCCTCCTGCGTTAGAGCCCTTCTTCGCCGTTTTTGCGGTCTCCAGTGTGGATTTTCGAATTCAGCATAGCGAATAGGTCCGGGTAAGCATAAAATCTCAAAATCGACTTCTGCCTGGACACTGCCTTCAACGGCTCATAACTTCGCCCACAAAGGCGCTAAGCAGATATGGATTACAGATTTGAAATCAGCGTTATGCTGCATCTGATGGTATGCAGCTTGGTTGGATTGGTCGATTTCTGACTTCCCTTATCAGGCACAGTGAGCACAGTATTTTGAGAAAAGTATGGAAAATCGATTTTGCTTTGTGCTTAACAGGACTTATTCGCTATGCTGAATTCGAAAATCCACACTGGAGAGGGCGAAAACGGCGAAGGTATTTAACGCAGGAGGGAAATCAGGGGCGGGGTCTTTTCAACTGTGAAGTCATCCACCCGATGTCCGGAGCGATCTTCTCGGCTTATTCAAATCACGCGTTCAGACTTAGCCGGTGGCGATATTAGATGGCTAGCGAAATCGAAAAAATCGCGGTGACTTCACAATTGGGGAAGACCCCGCCCCTGCTGATTCCGCTCCTGGGCTAGAGTCCTTGTTCGCCGTTTTCGCGCTCTCCATTGTGGATTTTTGGATTCAACGTAGCGAATAGGCTCAGGTAAGCATAAAATCGAAAGGACCTTCTGCCCACACACTGCCTTTAAGGTAGCAGTGAGGAGCATAAGCAGATCAAGCGGATTTTCGCGTGTGACTTTCTTGCAGCGTTAAGAGCCGAACATACATCAAGCGGTTCAATCGCTTCGCGATTTTCCCGAGGTAATTGTTACGAGTCCATTGCATGCTATCTTGCATTTCGGTTGTGATAGTTAGCTGCAGTTAATCGTGTCAACCATCACAACCGCAGTGCAAGATGGTAGGCAAGCAATGAACTCATCGCGGATGGCTTGGGGGAGAATTGCGATGATGCAAGTGTATGGCCGGACCTTTCTACAGCAGTTGCCCCACATAGATGATTTGCGAAATTTGCAAGTAGCTACAAGGGAGGATTAGGATGACACCTCTCAAGGATAGATCTCACAAGGTAATAATCAATCCCTCATATCTCGCGGCACAGAAGACCTAGAAAAAAGGCGACGGTCTACGTCGATTCTCCATGATCTCAGCTTTCGAATGGTATACAGCATGTTAGGGTTTCTTTGCTTCCCGGCTCTAAAAATCATTTGCTCCGGTAACCGATAAAAACCAATACATTGGTGGAGCCGGATTGGAGCAAGCTAATAGTAAATATCTCCACCCCATTTTTGAAAACTGGTCTGTTTTTTCGCCCAGCAACCTATATACCATTCGAAAGCTCAGGAAAAGGGGATTCGATCTAGACTGTCGACTTCTTTCTAGCCCCCCTCTACCGAGAGATACACCGCATTTTATCTGAAAACATGGTCATTTTCAACAGCAGATTTCTGCCAAATGAAGACCTAATCACTGCTGATTATCTATCTGTGTTAAAGAGCAAGTCTTCATTAACAAACGTAGACCGTCGACTTTCTCGTAGCATTCATTTGGAGAGCAGAAAGTGAGGGCACAAAATCAGTTAATTTTTGAAGCACATAAAATCCCTCATATCTCGCGGCACAGAAGACCTAGAAAAAAGGCGACGGTCTACGTCGATTCTCCATGATCTCAGCTTTCGAATGGTCTACAGCATGTTAGGGCTTCTTTGCTTCCCGGCTCTAAAAATCATTTGCTTCGGTGACCCGTAAAAGCCAACACATTGTATAGATCGTCCCGAAAGTTTTTGCGCACGATTTTCGAGAATTCATAACTTTTGATTTTTCCGACCGATTTGACTGCTTTCATTTTTATTTGAAAGGGTAAGTCATGCTCTTTATAATGACATCTCAGCTGCTTAGTAATGGTCATCTTTTGCATAGATAGGAGCGATAGAAGAAAATTGGTCAAAATTTGAATTTTCTGCGTAGGGGCATAAAAAATCGGAGACTTGCAACAAAAATCGGAGCAGTTAGTATTGTAGGTTCTTTCACCAGCTCTTTCTAACAGTGCAAAGTTTGCTCCGATTGAGCGTCTCCATGAAAAGTTGTGATTTCCGAGCAAGCAATACAAAAATGCGAATTTGATTTATTTTACAAGGGAATGGTCAAAAGTCGAAGTGGCCAATCCATACAAGCTGCATATTATTCGATGCGGCATAAAATGCTGATTCCAAATCTGTCTTCCGTATCTGCAGAGCGCCTTTGTAGGCGAAGTTATGAGCAGCTTTACTGCGAAAAAACCGCATACAAAAATTGCGAAATTAGGCACATTATTGCTTATTCTGCTCACTTCTAGGTACGGGTTGTATGAAGCGACCCAGTTGCATGTTTTGGTCCAACATTAAGCCAAGAATGGCTCTGTACGGCCAAGTTTGCACTTTACATGCACAATTTCTTAGCAAAATAATGGCCTTTAACAGCTTATAATTTCGTTCACAAAAGCGCTCTGCAGATAACGAAGACAGATTTAGAGTCAGCGTTTTATGCTGCATCTAATGGTATGCAGTTTGTAAGGATTGGCCACTTCGACTTTTGACCATTCCCTTGTTAGCATTTTTCAGGGAAATCATGACTTTTCATGGAGACGCTCAATCGGAGCAAACTTTGCACTGTTAGAAAGAGCTGGTTAAAGATCCTACAGTACTGTGCTCCGATTTTTGTTGCAAGTCTCCGATTTTTTATGACCCTACATAGAAAATTAAAATTTTTACCATTTTTCTTCTATGTCTCCTATCTATGCAACAGATGACCATTACTAAGCAGCTGAGAAGTCATTATAAAGAGCATGACTTACCCTTTCACATGAAAGTGAAAGCAGTCAAATCGGTTGGAAAAATCAGAAGTTATGAATTATGAAATTCACGCGCAAAAACTTTCTGGACGACCTAATAAGAGCGAGGTGGAGCAAGTTAATAGTAAAAAATGTGCTGTGGATTGACATCGTTATCAGCACTAACGGGAACGTGAGCGAACGCGTCTGTTTGAGCGTCCTTATCGTTGTTATATGTTTATGTTTTTTTTGTAAAAAATGCGCTTTTGATTGACAGTTATGCCATCATTATTAGCGCACACTCAAAAAACTATGGGAGATTGATAAATTTCCACACCTTCACACAAAAACCTGCCCATTTCTGGAATTTATACTCTGTAAACCTAGTGCTGAAGAAGGTCACTATCATGAAAACGCTCTAGACTCACCTTACCTAATTTGTAGAGAAGGTGGTTGGGTTCAATGAATCAAAAACCTTAAGACATTCAGAAGAATAACATGTTATTAAATTATCCCTCAATGTTTTGGAAAGGTTGGCAGTTTGAAGAGGAAACGGCAGGCAGAATACTTTACAAAATCGCAGATGACTCGCATGTGTTCCAGTTCAATAGCGAGGCAGAAGGAGAATCTTACGCCGACGAAAATGTTGTCGACATTGACACAGAGTTGACAATTGAGCGAAACTCTCTGATTTCCTGCATAAGGAATCCAAGCAGATTAGTTTCAATGAGGAATTGTCCAGGAAGTCCATTGCTGATCTTCAGGTTGCTGAAGAATTCAAGGCTGCTAAATTCACAAATATGGATATGAACAAAAGGAAGGTGTTAGTACAAAGCATAGTTACTGCACTTAGATCCCGGCTGGAGTGCGAACCCAACTCTGTGCTTTATGCTTTTGGAAGTTATTCGCTTTGTGACATTATGACCTATGATATTGAAAAAAAACCAACGCGCAGCATAGTATCTACTTTTTTTTCGGCTATTCCGCAGATGCTGTTGAAGAAGAAGTTGAGCAGCTTTCTCGTCAGTTAACAGGAAGTATGCCAGAGGAGGTGAAGCCAGAGTTCGCAAAGGCCCAAAAAAGTATGCACTATTTCCTTCTCGTGTTGCGAAAGCATATGCGATCTGGCTCTTTTCCCATTACTTACCGCAAAAATCTGAAAGATTTACTAGCAAAGCTAGTTTCCATTCCGTCTAGCACGGCAGAGGTGAAGAAAGAAATTTTCTATCTACTCTGTTATCAGAACACAACGCAGAAGTCGTACAACGATAGAGCATCTAAGCAAATACTTAAGATTTGTCAACCTTCTACTAAACACATTGTTATCTAAAAACTTCATTCAAAGGATTGGTATAAGTGGTCTAGACAGGCTGTTACCGTATGACTTTTTGAAATATCCTAAAAGATTATGAAGAAACTGGTCACCTACCTGCTGACTTCCTGATGCTACCAGAGGGCCAGGAAAAAAATCACAAAAGTGCTTAGAAGAAGAAGAAAGTTTCAAATCCATTTTTGACTTAGAACGCTTTGCACGCAATTCTACTTCCACTCCGATGACCTTTTGGAGGAAGAGGAAGATTTTTCAGGCACCGAATTTGTTTTCTCTGACGTTAGCGATAGTGATATTGTTGATGATGATGCGCAGGAAATGAAGTTGTTCCTAACTTGCAATCTTTTGGGATAAACCATACAAATTAGAGCTTTTCATAGCACGCTTTCTTACATTTTCTCTCTTCCTCCCCCCCCCCCCCCCAGACTCACATACCCCCTTCACCCTGGAAGGTCGGGAACAGCCGAGACCCCCTTCACCTGGGGAGATCCCGGCTCCCCCTATCGCACCTATGCCCTGATGACTCAGTTTCAGTGGCTGTGGTTATGTTAATTACAAGGAAGAAGTACATTCACCAAAAACATCAAGTATTTTTGAAACGCATTTCGTGAAATATGCGCCACAAAACACTTGACAAATTGTATATTAGAACCCTCTTGACTCCTCCCAGATAGCCGCTTAGCAGATAATATACACTACATGTGATCAGCGTTCAGAGGCGATTCCGGTGATACACAGCATATTTGTTATGACTGGGTTAAGTTCTGACCATTCCCTGCATAGCACCTTTGTGGATGGAGTTATGAGCAGTTTTGTTGCAAAAAAATCACACATAAAAGTTGCGAAAGTGAGTACTTGTTGTACTTTCAGCCCACATTTAGGCTTCAAGAGTATAAAGTAATCTAAATGCATGATTTGGCCCAACATCAAGCCCAACATGGCTCTGAAATGCCACATTTGCGTTTCGTATGCACGATTCTTTAGCAATAAAACTGCCTTTAACGGCACATACTTTGCCCACATAGGCGCTATACAGGCATGGAATACAGTTTCGAAGTCAACGATTTGTGCTACATCTAATGGTTCGCAGCTTGTTCTGATTGGCCACTTCGGTTTCTGACCTTTCCCTCGTTATTCAAGGGTGAATATCACAAGTGACCTTTTCAACTGCCAATACTAAGGGTAGATTAACTGTCACATTCACTTTATTTTCAGATACTTCGGCGACTGGGTAATAAGCCCTATGTAGCTCAACTGATCCAATCAGGAAAACGAGAGCTGTATTGTTACATGGTCATGACTCTTCTTGGCGAAAGCTTGAGGCACATTTCAAAGTAAGTTAAGACAAAAACTGTCATGCGTAATAATTATCTTTATCATTACCTTACAAACGCCTCTATGTAGAAAGCCGCAATCGAAGATTGCATGCCAATTTCTGTTTTGTGGAATGACCTTTTGCTTTCACGTGCCAAGTCAAACGGTGGATTTGAACTTTTTTAGAATGCACTGGGTTGCTTAATTACGAAAAACTCAAAATTTGCCTCTCCATGCCTGTATGTGTTGAGTGGAGCATCTCAAACTGAAAGCGAATCTGCGTGTGGCTTCTTCGCCTTGTTAGAGCATCCTCTAAGTTTTCGCGGCAATTAAGGACTTGCAAAGATTTCAATAGAGATTTACATTTGAAAAAACTATTCAGGCGTATTGGTAAGATCTTCAGCGTTTCCACGCAAGTAAGAATTGGTATAAATACATTATTTGCTCTGAAGCAAATACATGATGTGAGCATGTTATTTCACCGTAATAATGGCAAAAAAGCTGCAAAGCATCCAAATTTGTTTGAACAGACAATTTGTTTGCAGATTGGATTTGTTCACCGAGATGTAAAGCCTGCAAACCTAGCTCTTGGAAGGAGTGGCACTCGTGAGCACAAGTTCATACACTTACTAGACTTCGGATTAGCTAGAGAATTTATCGTGAATTCTGAAGGAAAAATCAAAATGAGGAGACCACGGCAAAGGGCTCTGTTTCGGTGAATTTAGGAAATTCTGAAAATTGTGGTATTTCACCGTTTATAGGGGAACAACAAGATACTGCTCAATAAACACACATGAAAAGTGCGAGCAAGGACGAGTAGATGACCTATGGTGCTTGCTGTACATGCTAGCTGAGCTACGTGGACCTCTTCCATGGGCGAATGCTAGGTATAAACAGATATAATATGAATGCTATAAACAGTGTTGGGAGGGGATAGGAGTATAATATAATAGCCGCCGGTCACCTTTGTACCACAAACTAATTCAGATTGTTGAGGTATTACTTGTCATTTTGCGACTCGATAATCAACATTTGCATGCTATAAAAGATCAAATGGATTAGGCATACAGTTACAGTCTGTATTCAGTGATAAAAAAGAAGTCCATGAAATAAAGCAGAATACAGATATAGAGATTGTGTTGGAGAACTGTCCAGTGCAATTGGTAAAGTTTGCCGAACACCTGAGGTATAGCACGAAAGAAATTACTTTTGCTTCAATTCTCTATGCGTATGTAATTCTAGCACACTGAACTACTACTCCCGTCCTGATTATCTGCATTTATACACTCTGCTGGCTGATATCATGAAAGCAGGCAGGTTCAGGTTGGTTGCAGTATTTCCACAAGTAAAACAGTTTCTTATGGGAAGCTTAAGGTCACTAGAATGATAATTTCTGCAGATAGCAATCAATTCTACTTTCCTTCCAAGCATAAGTGTCTGCTATTGTAGATCTAAAGGCCACATTTGTCCTCAAAAGGCAAATTGTTACACTTCCAAAGTGTTTCTGCTTGAACGTTCGATTTGTTACGCAGAACTTGTAGAATGGAACCTCTAGTTTTGCCGACTGTGAAAAAGTGCTCGCAAACGCACACCATTTTTACTGCTCAGTGCATTTCTCTAAATACTTGAAAAATTTTCTTTATGCTTTTCGTATCATCGAGGTTGCAAGCCGAATGGAGCTTCCAAGGATCTGAAAACTCTGATATCTCGATACATAAATTACTGTAACCAAAGACCAATAAATCTAATCGTAACTGAGTGAGCAGATGTCCTAGACCTTGGGATTTGATATTTCGATCAGTTCCTTGTTCTGAGTGAGGAATGATGCGCAAGTCGCAACTGAACAAAAGACACATGGAATTGATGGCTCGGTTTGAGGGCAGGTTGCGAGGATTGATGCTTATTGATTTGAGTCTGGTATTTGCATAGCTAGAGAAACCGATCATTGAGGATTCTAAAAGAGCCATGTCTTTTGTCAGTACGCAAACGACTCTAATTCAGTGAATAAGGCCATAAATAAGTGTAAAGCGATTTGCTTCTTGGGCTTTGCATCAAATCGTGAAATTTCAGATATTCGGATCCATATGATTGGGAGATGTTGAAAGCTGAATCACGAGAAGAATCGAAAGAATCGAAGGAAAAGACTAGCGTTTTATCAGTGGCAACGTGAGTTTTGCGAGTTACCGTAGTGGTTCGAGGCATTCGGTCTTCAGCCAAGTGGAACTTGGGAATCGGTTATTTCTTTTAGAACGGAGAAAGGAACAGTCCTGTCACAAAGGAGTACCCAATCTGCTCCTCCACAGATATGCGAATCAGTGAGTTTGGTCATGTCTTCTTAATAATCATAGATGATTTCTTTCTTCAGATCTACCAGCAAATCAACGAGCAAAATCCGTTTCCGAAAGACTTCTTTGCGTGGAATCCATTAGGCATATGATGCTTTTTAATTCAATCCTGAAATCTCAAAAAACAGAAAGTTTACAGCGTTATATATGTGAAATACGAAATTCATCCATTAAAATATTTAATTTTTATCACTCGGCCCGCTTAAATCATACTTGACTCCATTTCTATTCATCATTACACTAGTTCACTGGTCATAATAAATGTTAAACTCATAGTGAAGGAACAAGGATACTGAAAATGGTAATTCTTCCAAGCACTTTCACTATACACAAGTGCGCGCGCTTTATCGACAGGTGTCAGGCGCGGAAGCGCAAATTTGCACTGGATCATGGAGCACTTCTTGCGGTCAGTATTCCATTCTTTTCTCAGTTTTCATGACTTTAAATCTTGTGACCTCGTGCCCTTGGTTCCTGACATGATTGCGGCTAAAACCATGACTCAAGTAACTAGCCGGATCTCAGTTTTCTTCGTTGCAAGTGTGTATGTGCTCTCTATTCTGCATAAGACGCTTTTCTGTCAAATCAAGCGTTTTTTCTAACGGAGTCCAACGACCTTGAGCACAAAACTTTGAGGCAAGGTCGCACATTCCGTGAAAATTACAGTATACTAGCTGGCTTACCCGGCTCCGCCGTATGTTCCGAATAGAAAATTCCATTTTTTAACCGATCCGGACCAAACTTGGCACACATACACTTCGGGCCCCGGCGGGTGTCATAGGCTACTTTTCGTATCGATCGATATCGATTTTATCAATTTTTTGCAAAATTTGGGCTAGGGGGCTGAAATTTGGCAGAGGGGGGTAATTGAGCATGCCGATCACGAATACAATATTAGTTTTCGAAACCGTGCATTACTTTTATCGATTTCATCGATTTTTTGCAAAATTTAAGCTACGGGGCTGGGAGTTGGCACATGGGGGTAATCGAGCATGCTGATCACCCCCGTGGGGATGATCAGCATGCTCGATTACACCCCTCTGCCAAATTCCAGCCCCCTAGCTCAAATTTTGCAAAAAAATCGATAAAATCGATAAAAGTAATGCACGATTTTAAAGTTTCTATGTATGTCGCAAACTCGATTTGAGCATACAGAAAATAGTTATTTTGCCTACTTACAAAAGTTGACCAGACCAAGCATTTGTGGTTTGCGAGTGTTGGGTTTGAAGAGATCTAGCAAATGGTCACGCGTGGCGACTAAAATCGAGAGGTGTCCCCAGGTCGCGTTAGCTACCAGAGATCATATCTATATACAGTGCTGGACATAATTATAGAGACACTCTAGAAATCGCCGTAATTTCCGTTTCTGCCAGTGAATCTGTCTGAAACTTTGCTGTATGGTGCGCATATAAGCCTACCATAACTCCTCAGAACGGCTTCCAATCCCGTTGATTTCGAACGGAGAAAAATGGAAAAATTCGAAAAAGCCTGTTTTGCAAGCTGGACATATATATAAAGACACCTGGCCTTTTTAAACATTATCGCATTCCTTGACTCCCAAACTTTTTTGTAGAGTTACATCCCAGAATATGAAACTTTTGCAGCACCTAGGACCTGTCATGCTACTCAAGGAAAGATGATCCTTGCATTTTTCGTTTCCAAAGGCATCAGAAGTCAAACTGCTTCAATAAACAACTGGTTTGAAGAGTTTTCAAGCCCTTGTTCATTTCAAATGATAATCATAGAGTCTACTGATCCTTCTGGGTAGATGAGGTAAAGAGCGCTTTCGTAAACTCTGCGTAATCGCTGATTTTGACGGACAGACTCCAACCTCATCATAGGGTTGTCGCGCTTTTGCATCACAAAACTCACTTTCCAATGTTCGTGAAGTGAAGGACTCGATTTATTACATTGTCTACATGGAGATGCATCTTTTGCAACAACTTTTAGATTTTTTCTAGTGCTGCAATTGCCATTCAGATCTGAAATACTTTCAACGAAAATTCTATGCGAGCATTAGATTCAACATAATCACAAATCTCACTATTTTATTCTCTGTTTCATGTCGCATTTTGCGCGGTAGCTGAGATCAGCAAGATTTTGAAGTTTCAAGCGGTCTTCTGTTCGATTTCCTGATTTGAGTTGGATATGATTGTGCAGGGTGCTCGACTCAACTCTCAACGGATGACAACTGCGGCTGAACCAGAATGTGCAAACCCGAAATTTTTTCCTGATTAGGCATACAAGTTTATTGTTGTACGTGTTTTGTTGCGGCTACATTGCAGCGTTTTCTGTAACTTGAAAATCGAGTTTTATGGTGCAAAAGCGCCACAACCCTATGGTGAGGTTGGAGTCTGTTCGTTAAAATCAGCGATTACGCAGAGTTTACAAAAGCGCTCTTCACCTCATCTATCCAGAAGGATCAGTAGACTCCATGATTATCATTTGAAATGAACAAGGGCTTGAAAACTCTTCAAACCAGTTAATTATTGAAGCAGTTTGACTTCCGATGCCTTTGGAAACGAAAAATGCAAGGATCATCTTTCCTTGAGTAGCATGACAGGTCCTAGGTGCTGCAAAAATTTCATATTCTAGGATGTAACTCTACAAAAAATTTGGGAGTCAAGGAATGCGATAATGTTTAAAAAGGCCAGGTGTCTTTATAATTATGTCCAGCTTGCAAAACATTTTTTTTTCGAATTTTTCCATTTTTCTCCGTTCGAAATCAACGGGATTGGAAGCCGTTCTGAGGAGTTATGGTAGGCTTACATGCGCACCATACAGCAAAGTTTCAGACAGATTCACTGGCAAGAACGAAAATTACGACGATTTCTAGAGTGTTTCTATAATTATGTCCAGCACTGTATATACAATCCGAAATCGTGAGTTTGGAGGCTATGTGCGTTACAGAAAAACGCGCCGCTCAACCGATTCAGTTGAAAGTTTGCACACATATGTTATCGGCCCCTGCGCAGATGATAGGCTACTTTTGCGGCGATTCGTTAAGTCCTTCTATCGATTTATTGATTTGTTTACGTTTTTCTAAGCAATTGAAGGCTTATCATAATTAATCAAGCATTTTCCATAATCATGTAAAGAAGGGCTGTGAAGCTCATTTTGAGCACAGGATCACGAGGATGTGGTTTTGAAGCGGATGTCGTAGGGTAAGTTATCCATAACATATAAGAGGGTGGGGGGCTCGCAGTGGGGTGTATGTCAAGAGGCGTGATTTTTATTAGGTTGGCACATAAGTTTTGCAACTTTTCCCGTAACTTTTCTCTTATTTTATGTAGCAATTTCATTTTGTGGCACCATGTGGATATGTAAACTGCAAGTCTGCGCAAACCGTTTGATTTTTGATAACGTAGTACAAAAAATCTAAGCATTTTTTGAAAACTGATGAAAATCAAGGTTTCACCGTTTTCTTGCAAACATGAAGCCCTACGAAACCTGAATTGAACATATCAAAAAGCAATTATAGGCAGCATGTAGCTAGAAGTGGGCACATTGGAATCAGTTAAAAAGAAATGAAAATTAAACACAAATCAAGGTGGGCGCCTTTGAGAAGCTGAACAAGTCAAATGCGTCAAGTTTTGAAGGCAATTTATCAATAACTATTAATAACTAATAATCTGCGAAATGTCAGAATTCGCTATAATTTTGCACTGTAGGGTAATCCTATGCGGTGAACACGAATATCACATTCATTTGTCGCTAAAATAAAATTCAATTTTTGATCTCACGAACGAGGCCTTTTCATGCGAAACGGATCTCATTTTTGTGATCAGCATGTCGAACAAGCCCTCTAGGTCAAGTTTCAGCAAAATCTGATGCATACTAAAATTTTTCCCATAGTACCGTAAACCTACCGTAATCCTTACATAAGATGGTAGATTTCGGCAAAAATGTGTGCATTAGAAGCTTACATCATAATCCTCACATTGCCAAAAAATGAATGCGCTACGTTGAAAGAGACAAAAGTTATATAAAAAGTTGCATTACTTATGTGCCAACCTAATATTGCCAGATGGATACCAAATAGCACATAATAAGTGTTTTATAACTTTCTAAATTTATTCAGACTTTAGAAGGAGATATATTAGATTGTTGCATGGATTGTTCAATCTTAATACCTTGGAATCGATTCAGAACAGCAATTCTGAAGGACAAAAACCCATGAAAATACAGTTAAATACAAATTGGTAAATATTTCGGTCCGTCTCCCAGCAAATGCCATCAAACTCAGCAAGTGGTAACCTCAAACAGATAAGCAAATACACTTTATCTGGTACTTTTTAAAGACTCTCATAGCACCAAACTGGGTTTGATTAGGTGACAGCCAGAGAAATCGCGTCCCTTAACCGTCTCCCTCTCGCAATGCAAGTGGACAATGGCCCGGGCTGGACCGGGAAAGCCAACTGTGCTCTATATTGATGGCCGAGGATCCCGACTTGCGTAGCTGGTGTCTTCGCCTATGATAGTTGCTAAAACCGTCAGCATTACGATATCTTTTATGACGCATAATTAAATCCTATGCTATCTTGCTCTCGAGTCATAACTGCATTAGGCCTAAGGCATACCTCGCGCGATTTTCTCAAATCGCTACATCCACGCTATTTGGCGGTTTGCCAAATGTTTACAAATCAACCGTGCGCGGAACTAAAATGCATAGGCGCGTAGCTCCAGTAAGTTATAGCAGAAGCTTCAAGTCTGGCCCATGCAAAGCGCACTAACGACAGTTACGAAGAGTCGCTGCAGTGCCAAATCGCGCAGCGATGGGATCGCGTGAGGTATGCCTAAGGCCTTGGGCAGACTTCACGCGACTTAATCGTCGCGACTCAATCGCCAACATTTCCATTCATTTTCATTTCACATTCAAAAAATTTCGGGCTGGAAAAGTATCACAACCGAATGCAAGTTGATCGGCATGGAATGATGTTGTTACAGTTGTCTCGTGGCGATTCGGTCGCGACGATCAAATCGCGTGAAGTCTGCCCGGGGCCTTAGGCCTCAAAGATATAAGGCAACGATAGTTTCTTTGTCTGGTGTTAATTCACATGGATAAGGCAATATGCCTTCTAACCACTCGTGTGTCTGGTTTCATGGAGATAGGGCACTCATGTGCGCTACAGAACTTAGAAATGGAAAGCTTACGCAGCCAGGTCTCATCGTAAGGCGTTGCAGTGCAATCGAGTTGAG